ACTTTAGTTAGTGTGTAATGTTGCTGTTAGACCATAAATAATACCTGTAAAATTATAAAGCTCAAAGTTCAATGCCTAGCGAGATATTTTATTTAACAGAAGTCCCCTTTCAAAGCCTACAGCGAACGGCCGGTTTGGACTACATCCCTCTACTTCCTTTTTTAATGACGTAACTAGAACAGTTTTTTTACTAATCTCCGCCCACAGGAATACACAAAAAAGGGGGCGTGGTCTTGTTGCGCTCCCACGGAGAAGAAGCACTTCAGCTGCGCATGCATGTCCAATTTATGGTAAGAGGCGTGACCTTTCCGGGCAACGTGCGATAAGCTGCTGTTGAATCACAACACAGGAACCGCTGGCACAATCAGAACTCGTTACGTATTTCTGAAGGAGGGACTTCATAGAACAAGGAAGTCATCGGGCCGTTTTTTGGACAGTGAAAACAGCGGTATACAGATAAGTCAATTGTGTGAAAAATACAGTGTTTTTTTACACGCGAAACATGAATACATGTTATATTGCACACTGTAAACACAATCAAAGCTTCAAAAAAACATGAAGAACGGGACCTTTAAGTACATGTTAAAGGCAGCGTACGTAAGTTTGAGAAACTAGCAGAAAACTGCTGGATTTTGAAAGTATCCAACAGAGAAACTCCCACCCCCTCACTTCTGGGCTCCATGGAGTGACATCACCTTTTTTTGCCTTGTTTGCCTGCGCTGACTGTATATGCAGGTACAGGTGGTACTGGGAACTTTGACTGCTCTTTCTCTGCCATAATTGTGAGACTTCCTAGCTTCCGGCCGGTACGTGCCTCTTCTCTTTCGAAATGAGCGAGTCAACCGAGTGCGCGCATGTGGGCGGCTCCTGTATCAGCAGGGGTGGTAGCCATGGTAGCGAGGAAGAGTAACAGTCACCCAGCCAATCATTGCATTCGTTCCAAATGGAAAGAGTAGCTGTGTTTATTGCAGCCCTGAGAGGACTACTAACAGACACTCGATTTTTATACTCTCCTTTTCAGAGTACTTACATTTTAGATATGTATTGCCTATCTATCCTGCCTTTAAGTACATGTACAGTAGTTAATTGATATTACAGTACTTATTTGAGTAAGTACAATGTAACTAAGTCATCTTAAAATAAAGTGTAACCAAATTGTCTTTACCTGCAGCACAGAGTCATTCATGCACATTAAAAGTACAATATGTAAGAATTTTGTAATACAATATCCAAAAATCATTTGCACAGTGTGATATATTTCCTGCAGTTGTGTACTTACAATATCCCAGAAGTTCCCACAGATTTTTAATTTCAGAGAAATTCCAATTTTAAATAATTGGCCGTCCCGGAATTTTCACTTGTCGCCTGTCACTGACGTAATATCCGCGTTATCCCTGGTTTCCAATACGAGCATATTAACCATTCCGACAGATGTGGACAACAGCGTTATGTCTAGCTGCAATTGTTTCGTTCAAACATTATGGACCATGGCAAGCAAACTTTGGGAAAAAAGGAGAACTAAAACAAGGATCAATATCAGTGTGGCGTTTTCGAGATGCCGAGAGCTCCACGTCCGTGACAAACTTCGACTTGACAGAGCTCTTACATGTACTTTATTAGACAGGTGAGCAAATGTACATAAAACTAATCAATGTTATATAGTTCAACATGATGAAATGTTAGAATATGATCTGTATGTTATTCTAATGTTGATCTAGCTTACTGCTAGTCTCATACAGCCAACAAACTAACACATAGAATAACATTATAACTTTCAACACACTCAAATGCAGTTTAGTGTGATAGTGTAGTAGACCAAGTGAAACAGCGCTGCGTTACCTCACAAGCTTCATTCGTCTAATAAACTGACCTGTGTGAGTATTAATTCAGCACTTGCGGGTAGTTCGGTAGAAATAAATGTCCTTATTCCTTTATATCCGCGGGACTCGCGTGTGATATCTGTCTCTCATTAGCAATCGAGCCCTGCTTCATACAGTCATGATAAAAACATCAATGTATTCACTCGTCATGCATAAGCATTATTAGATCCATAAGCTTGACGACAAGTTCCATAATACAACTGGAAAATTGCGTCATCAACCTACGCCTTTGTTATTGTAAGAGGTTAGCGACCCCTACCGGCAAAAAAAAATTACATATCGTATCAATAGAGCTGCTTCATAGTTGACAAACGATAGAAGACATTTGCAAGTTTTGTTTTCTACAATGGACTGTAAAACATCAACCTCATCCAGCACTCTTTTTGTTTTCTGTCTCATAAAGTATCCCGTTACGGTGTGAGAAACAACTGCAAACAATTCAGTGAACGAGTGAACTGTCCAAATTAATCAAATTGAATTGCGAACAATATTTCAGACCTTTTGCAAAACAGTCTGACCTGACCAATTAGATCAAAGGTGCATCCCAATTTGCTTACTTATATACTATTATATGCCATTTTGTAGTATAAATAGTGTGAGAAGTGTGTTCACACTGAACATTCCAACAAGAAAAGGTACATTTATTTAACTGAAAAACTATTTCACACTTTATGCACTTAACTGTGGCACCTTTACCATCTTATGTACGAAAGGGGGAGGGGCAATCAGACTCTGATGTTGGATGACAAAATAAACTTATACACTAATACATTTATACACTAAGAGTGTCAGAGGTTCTGGGTTCTGAAGCACCCTTGTATAGTTTTCTTTTTTTCTTCATTAAAACGAAAGATGTTCATCAGTGATTTTACATCAAGAGCAGGGACACGTTTGTGTGCATTTTGTTTTGTGATTACACAGGAAAGAATAGAGTCTCCGGAATGGCGTTAGCGATACATTGAAGCGCTCTTCTGTGTGTGAAGACTGTGGCTGTATACGAGTCACAAGAGAGCCACTGATAACAGCGGCAACGAACACTCGGCATGATTTCGAAAACAACTCATTCCAGTGCCAGATTGCCTCTTTTTTTTAACAAACAAACAAACAAACAAACAAACAAACAAACAAACGAAATTAATACTCTGCTAATACTCTACTCAACTGATATGTTTGCATTATAGAGCCTACATCCCTGGTGCGAGATGTTTCAAAGAAGTGGTGGGGACAATATCGAACCAGGCAAAAAGTGGTGGGGACATTGTCCCACCTGTCCATTCGTGAATTTGGCATAGTTCTGATTCTACAAAGACACATGAAATGAATGATGAGATATTATCTTGGAAAATGATTCTCAGATTCTTATTTGGTAATCCCCACCTATAAGCAAGGATTTATCAATAATATTTCACAAGGGCTCATGTCCCAATAAAAAGGACTGAACTAATTGCTTTGAGGCCTGTCCGAGCATATTAACTCTCTAATGAACAATGTCAGATTCACTATCAGTATCTTTAAAAAAGCATCAATGAGCACATGCCTAAAGAAAGGAACTCTTGCTTCAAGGATCTATTTGTGTAACATTACAAATGTTTCAAATTTGAAATCGGCCAAAATAATCAGTACCACACACTGTCTCTCTGATAATGCAAATCAGGCAAACATTGGAGACATTTTGGTCTGGGGGTGGTATGTATGAACTGGCATTTTTAAGGACTCGAGGGGTTAAGAGGTTGTGTGAACAATGGACTATGGTTAGATTCACTTATTGAATAGAACTGAGGGTCATGCAATCTTGCTGTTGGGGGATGGGGCGCACTATATGTCTAAATGCCAGTCCTGATGGCTAGCTAACTCCTCCCTCTATGCATGACAGATGCCACCTTTCACCTTGTAAACTCAGAAACAGAAATTGGGCGGAACCTTAGGGAGTAATATGAAAGAGCTCCAGATTCCTTATTGAGAATAAGAACAATCCAACAGCCAATCAATGGAAAGGGAAGTGGAACCTACATTCAAACTCTCTGTCAGGACCGGTGAACAACAATGCCCATTGGGAAATGTAGGAACATGATATGTTTTGTAGTAAGGTCACCAAATGTGCTCTTCTGTCCCTGTTAAGTGTGTATCTGTACCTCTAGGACAGGTCCCTCCCTAAACATGTCCTCACCTGTCTGTCTCCTGCTACTGACGCTGACATTGGGACAATGAATCGGCCAAAACTATGCCATATCTTCATATTTGTGGCATTGTATCCAATCAGGTTTAAAGATACAGACATGCAAAACATGTTGTCAGATTGATCACTCTGCGCTGTAGAGGCTAAGAAGACAGAAACATGTAATGGGTTCATATGGAAATTTTAAAGATGAGAATAAGTATTCCTCATCTTTTCACATGAAGTTTGTAATGAGAAAATAACCAGCATTTAATTTGTCAATAATGTCACATGTAATGAGCAAATAAAACTACAGTGTCAGTAATCTGATTGCAACTAATTTTGCTTTTGCCAGTAAAATTTGTGCAACAAATTGTTGGTGCAGATAAGAAACCACAGCTTAGAGAAGATATTGATCATAACAGCTGAGGTTAACCAATATGCAATACACAGTGAAATAAAAACTACTGATAATAAAATAAATAAATACACAAATAAGCAAACACAGCAAGATAGTCTATAATATTGTCATTAGTCATAAACAAAGTTAAAAACCTGTTTGAGTCGCTGAATGTACAATTTTATGAATGACTGATATCTTGAATAAAGTTGCTGTTGCGTGTTTAACATTGGTAAAACATTTTAAAGGGCCATGCATCCTGTGTTTATACATATGCATTTTAATGAATTAAAAATGTGATGTGTATTGTGCTGGACTTTCACTCAATAAAGTAGCTAAATTCAAACAATTAACGGATTGTATCTTTACAATTACACATGAATATCGCATGTTTCAATATGCTAGATTCGCACTTGTTCCATAGTTATAAAGTAACCCATAAAGTAGCCTCTGTTTATAAAGTTTAGCAGAGGCGGGAGTGACTGCTCCAAAAGAATCATGACGGTTACGTTTTACTTTTTTAAATATAAAAACTAAAAGAAGTAACAAGCAAACGTGCACTTACCGCAGACTCCGACTTCTGCACCTCTGTGCTTAACGTGAGGAACACCACTAACACCGCGCCGACACTCTTTAAGTTCATACTGATTTTCAAAGATTCTGCCCTCTTAACATTGACAGTTACAACTATGGACACTTATTAAACTTATCATATTCCTCCGTTAAGCTAACTGCAAAACCAACAAGTTTTTTCAAAAGTTACAGAGGGATTCTTGTAAATTCTCAAGGCTGTCCTGTGCTGGCAGCGCTCGCAATAATGTACCCGTCACTTTACTGAATCCCCCTTAACCTGCTCACCGCACTACTTTATATTCCTCCGCCAAACATGTAGATCCCCACAGACTTTAGGTTGTAAAGTCATGAAATGATGAAGAGATTCATTTAAATGTCTTAGGGGCTTTCTTTAGTAGATAATAAACCATTAATATAAACTATTTTACCCGCTGTTTTCTTCTTCTTTTAAATTTATAAGGAGAGTTGGTAGCAATGTCGTGGCGGAGGACGCATCACACAAACACACACACACACACACACACACACACACACACACACACACACACACACACACACACACACACACACACACACACACACACACACACACACACACACACACACACACACACACACACACACACACACACAATATATATATATATATATATATATATATATATATATATATATATATATATATATAGCCTATGTAGACACACACACACACACACACACACACACACACACACACACAGATATATTAAAATAATATATAGCCTATTCTATTCTTTTATGCAGTTATTAAAAAAGTGGTGCAGCTATATATAAGATATGACAATGAGTTTTTCTGAGTTTTTCATTTTAAGTTCACTTTTTACCCAATAGTTCTACTTCGCTGCAGTCCCATTTACTAAAATAGATGGAAATTAGACTACATAAGGTTTATTTGTCCTTTCTGGCCCAGCCTACTTTTATTTTTTAGGTAGTTAAAATGAGTTTTTAATTTTGCTACATATTATTATACTGATCAATGTATGTGTATCATGTAATTTACATAACGTTTGTTTTATTATGTCCAGTCTTGTGTGAGACATATATAGCTTACACGAGTGGTAGGCTACGCTGTTTTACTGATAACATAGTTGTTATAGCTGTTTGTTTAGAGGCAAAAGCGTGAGGCGTGCGGGTGATTGACGGGCGAAACCCCGCCCTCTTCTCAGAGCACAGGCACTTGCGGTGCGTGAATCTACTCTGCCGCGAGGACAGCAGAAGTTTCTTGTGAGTGAACTCTTTTTCTCAGAGGACAAACAGAAGCAAAACTTAAAAACACCTGCATAAAATACCTGTAGCATCTGCAAAGTAATATTTCAATCTCTCTTTTAATTGTTTATATTTATCCTTATCTCACTTTTTGTCCTCCGAAGTGGACGAACCGCTCACCGGATTCTCAAATGAATAGGTTTGTAGCCATTAACGGAGGCTTACTGTGAAGACGCCGAGGATACATTACCTGCGTTTTCCTCAAAGCTGTGCAAAATGAAGCTTTGGTAAGTATATTTATATGTTGTTAACCGTGGATACCAATTCAGACAATTGGATATTAGGTAGTCAACTGTCAGTTTTAGTCATCCGAGTTAAATAAAGCACATTTTTTGCAAGCACACATGATGGATTTGTTTCTCTCCCTCCACAGGAGTTTTGTGTTACCTGTTGTTTTGTATGCAGTGTCTGCACAAGCGGTAAGTGTGCTATCATTATTAAAAACACTTCAACACTCACATGATGAATATAACTGCATTTCCCCTTGTGGTTTAGATCACCAGAAAGGATTTGATCATTTGTGTGTTATTTAACTGAACATCTAAGTTGTTTTTAAACTAATAGCCTATACATCTGCCATCATGTTTTCCAAACACATTTGGATGTATTTTATAAGACACAATCACTTAACAAATTACAACCTGGGAAGATTTGTGTAGACTATTTGTTTGCCTTGTTAAAATAGTTAGATGTCGAACACTTACAATGGTTAGTTTCCACTGCGAAGTCATTATTTAAAACAAAAAAACTTGTAAAGTCTTGTTTGATTTGTGAAATGTCTCAGTTCTCATCACCAAACTGAAAAAAACACTCCTCCTCCTAATTAATATGCAATGTCCCTGTTTCTCTGCCACGCCCATTTACCCCATTAGTATCCTATTGGCACTCACTATTCTAATTAGTATATTAGATATAAGCTTCTGTTTCGTATTTCTTCTGTTTTGATTGCAAGCAATAATTTGGCTGCACATTTAGTGTACATGATTTATGGTGCATTTATCATCTTTTTCTCATGTTGAAGAAATATGATATGCATTATTTTAAGTAGCTAATTTGAAATCGTTAAAGATTAGCCGAGTCATCAAATTGTGCTAGTTGTTGGGGAAATGTGGAGGTGATGAGGTGCATATTTAATTGTTTCATATAAGTTGAGTGTATAGGTGAGTTATGAATAGGTGTGTCTTGAAGATATTTGAAAGCACAGTAAGTTGTGATTTGGCTGTTCTGATTGTCCATAAGAGTTTATTTATCATGAACAGGCAGTGACCCTATATGGAAAATAGGGAAAATGCATTTAATTTTAGCAGTTACTGGGAGCAATTGAAGTATGATTAGAGAATATATGCATGACATCAGAGAATACAAAATGCACAGACCTATCAAATGGCAGCATTCTGGATGGACCCAATCAGACATGAGGTTGATGCAGGTGGGATAGAGAGTAGTGGCAGTATAGTCTAGCCATGAAATGATTATAGCTTGCACTAATAAACAGCTTAGAAGAGTAATAATTATCGGAGGGCTGAATTGTCCTCATGTTCCTTGTGTAGCATGAAGCTGGAAATGGTTGCTTCAGTGTGGTCCACAATGGTAAGTGGGTCAGCTAGGAGTCAACTAGGATTTCGTATATGAGAATAGAGGGGAAAAAAAATGAAGAGGTCTTGACTGTTGAAGAGGAGTTCATTTGTGTTGAAAAGACAAAAAGTCATCCCGACCAGTATTATATTTGTGATGCCTCTCTCACTCCATATATCTAGCACCTCACTTCAGATCTGTTTAAAATGTCAACTATAGAAATGTATAATTATATATACTTATTTATTTTTTATAAAATAATTGAATAATCCTTATTTAAATTGCCTTTTGTTTTAATAACCACAGTGGACAGACACTTCCCAGAATGCCAATACTTGTAGAATTTGTTTGAATTGTAAATCAGTAAATTCCACTTTCTGTTCTGTTCTTTTCTTTTCGGTTAGAGCTGCACATTTCTGAATAAATTGAGAATCACAATTTGTTTGGGGGGTTTAAAATAGAGATCACTATTCTGAAAAGTCAATGAAAAAAATAACATGTATGACAAAATGTTCTGGCAAACTGTTAATTGCTGCAGTATACTTAAAAATATTAAATTAATGTGAATGATTTTTATTTTTATTTAAAAATTGGTTTGAATGAATGATTCAATGACTCGCTCATAAAGACTTTACTTGTTTCATTACTTGATGAATCAGCGTTTTTGAACAAATCTCTTAAATAAATGATTATATGACAAATACATTTTTAGCAGTGACTTGTTGTCAGCACCTACTGGTGAAACAAATTGATACAATCTTTATTTGAAGCGTCAAGTTACTTTCATGGGTTACTTTCAATGGGTGATTTACTCTATTTTTATTGCTACCGTAGACATTAGCGTTTATATCTGAACTATAAACTTTTTTCCAGTACTTCTGTGATAATTTGAATTATTGTAACACAGATAATGATACTGTGCGATTGAAAAGACTATTTGTGAAGCTGTTTCATACCTATGACAACAGCTTTCTCTGGGTCAGCGGCAGCGCCTACACAAATCTGAATGTTCACTGTGATCATACTGTCAAAGGTTTAATAGACAGCCAAATCTTTGTCATTTAGGAATAAGTTGCTGATTTTTTTTTCTCAATAAGAAGATTGCGTGGGTGTTTGAATCAAGATGACAATCTTTTAACGATTAATCGTGCAGCTCTACCTGTGGTATATAAAATCAAAGACAAAATCCAGTCACATGTGGTAACAAGATGAAGTACTTGTTAATACTAATTGGGAACAGGGTTAGAGTGGTAAGCAAAAATAATCTGTATTTGCAGAGGCATTTGGCTGGAGTGACGCACAATTGATTGTAATTAGTACTCAAATGAGAAACTGTGCATTTAGATGACACTGTTGATTTGGTGCGGGTGGGGAAAAGTAAGGGGCGAAGCAGTGATCCCTGTGGGACACCAGTGGTGTTTAAAAAATAAACACCACAAAAATGATGAGATGAGATGACAAAACAGTAGTCACAACGACGGCATGTGTTTGCATGAGCTCTGCAATTCAGCAATCAAATCACACCACGTTTATATATATATAGCACTTTATACAATTGATTGCTTTAAAGGAAGCAGCATTAAGCAATCAGTAATTAGCAATCAGTCACTCAAGATTGGTCACTTGTCTTTTGCCTGGTTATCAGTTTCTCTGTTGTTGGCTAAGCGTGCTATTTAAGCGATGTAAACAAATTAATAATGAAAATAAAATAAATATTTGATCATCCTCCATAACGCAGTTGCTATTTACATCTCATATCGTCTGTAAACCCTTGCATTACCAAGGCAACGACTGTTTGTAATTACAACATTTGTATTACATTCCAACAAGCTCCGTTATTAGCCCCACAGTGCATGGAATGGAACGATTAAAGGGATAGTTCACTCAAAAATGAAAATGATCCCATGATTTACTCACCCTCAAGCCATCCTTGGTGTATACGACTTTCTGGCTGTTCCAAGCATTATAATTTGAGTGAATGGTAACTTGGATTTAGAACCACAAAAAAGCGCATCCATCCATCATTACAGTAATCTATACTGCTCCAGGGGGTTAATAAAAGCCTTCTAAAGTGAAGAGATATGTTTTTGTAAGAAAAATATCCATATTTATAACTTTATAAACTATAATCACTGGCTTCCGGTAACGGCTGTACGCGAGTCTAGTTCCGGCGGGAGAGTGACCTCTGACCCGATGTAGGATGTGGGAGTAGCGCAAGCTTAGGTGAGAGTAGACGCCTCTCAAGGTTCAAACAAACAGGGCTGGTCAACAAACTCAAGCTCCTCCTACATTTCCCTTTAAAAATTGTCTCTAAAAGATTCTCTCTAATTCGTGACCGGTGTTTAGTTTTGCTCTGTTCGCCGGAACTAGACTCGTGGACGGAAACCATTGATTATAGTTTATTATAAAATGGATAATTCCGGTCCTTGATTCTGATTGGTTGAGCTGTGTTCGGAGCCGTTGTAAATTACTCAACAAACATACACCTGTGACCGCATTACATTAGTATTACTGCACAACTGCCGTTTGTGATTCTTTGTTGCTGCATGTGTTGCTCCGCACCGCGTCGTGCCTAACAACGCCCCTTAACTGTTCTAAATTCCGGCTCTCACAGACCTGTTAGTTTCTCTATAAGAAGCCCTCCTCTTCTCCACTCATTACCTGTATTAACTGCACCTGTTTGAACCCGTTACCTGTATAAAAGACATCTGTCCACTAGGGGTGTAACAGTTCACAAAATTCACGGTTCGGTTCGATACGATACACTTGTGTCACTGTTCGGTTCGGTACGAATCGGTACGTTTCCGATACACCAAAAAGAAAGAAATGCCAGAGAAATTTCCTTGATTTAATTTTTTAATTATATTTTTATTAAAACTAATATAAAGTATGATATTTTTTAACTTTGAGCAATGATGGAGCTATACTTGACTTTTCTTAGGAGCATATAAAACAAAACAGCTCCTTGGACAAAATGAAATGTAATATTGTAGTAGTTATAAACAAAGGTTTATTTTAGTTCAGATTAACATTTGAGGGCAGCAATTGTATTCATAATGTCAAAATAAAACCGACGTGATGTTACTTTAAAGCATTATAGCCTACTATTCCTGCCAAACTTCCATGGTTACAGTTAGTAGTGTTACGACAGTAAATCCATGGTGAATGTTGCTGATCTGTGGACACTGGATAGTTCATTCATGGCACAATGTTTCTTCCTGGTTTCCACGTCAGCGCTGTTTGATCCGTTAATAACGGAGAAGTGCGAATGTTTCTCACTAGATCTCGCAGCGATGTTATTACTTCAGTGGCGAATTCAAATGCTTTCTTTAATGGATTTCGGTGTGTAGTAACAGTGCTGATGATTAAGATCGGCTCGCGCTGCATTGGTCCAAACTGATAAACGGTCCGTCAACCACACAATAACGAGTGGTTTCGTTCCGCTTACATTACATTTGCCATTTGATGTTGGGCAATGTTGTGGTCACGCCAGCATCTCTTACATTATGAGCGCGCTTGCCACGCGTGACCCGCCTACATTTTAAATAACGAAATTTTGGTCGGCAGGAAAAATGGTCCAACGAACCGTTCGGTTCAAAAATGCGTACCGAAAACCGAACCGAAAGCCTCGTACCGAACGGTTCAATACGAATACGTGTATCGTTACACCCCTACTGTCCACACACTCAATCAAACAGACTCCAACCTCTCCACAATGGCCAAGACCAGAGAGCTGTGTAAGGACATCAGGGATAAAATTGTAGACCTGCACAAGACTGGGATGGGCTACATGACAATAGGCAAGCAGCTTGGTGAGAAGGCAACAACAGTTGGGGCAATCATT